GAGCCTTGAGGTCGCTGTCTATTGCATTAATTTTTATAATTAGTAGTTAGTAATGGCTATTAGTACTTTATACACCACTTGCGACAGATAGGCGGATCTGTGCAACACCCAGTAATATTTGAGATAGAGCCATCTATTATTATGCCTAAACTACTAGTAAACTGCGCGTTTGTCTGTCTGTAAGCCTTGTCTTCTTGTCATCAACATATTTTGGCCTAAGGGCGAGCACTATTGAAAATAGTTCGCATGAGAGTGTTTTTTCGACTACTTCCCCTTTTATCGTTGACCTCGACCCACTATACTTGTTTTATAATTAATAAGAGAGAAGACCAGCGCATTAGTTGAAGGTCAGCCGAAGATCTTCCAGAGGACTGCAGTATTCGTCGCCATGCTAATCTTAATTACTTCCCATTAACTTAAATTGAAATAAATTTTTTTTAATATTTCATAAAGTGAACTAAAGCTCCTTTTGCTGTCTTTTTTTGTTTTTGTTTTAAGGTGGGACAGAATATTTCCTTTAGTTGCAAATGATCGAAATTTTCCCTAAAACTATATAACAATCAAGAGCTGAGTGTATAATATACAATGGAGTAGAGATGTGTCTTTTGATAAGTTTACGGCCATTTCGTGTAACTTCATCTTCTCTTATGGGTATCGATTGCTTTTAGCATGCACGGACTTCGTTTAAAATCAGCAAATCTCCGACAAATTGTTGTTTTTGACGGAGCAATTCCAACTCGGAACAGTTTCCAATTCAATGCCGATTTTGAATGGTGTTTTCATCTATTGAGAAGAAATGTTTCTTTAACATACAAATTTTGAATACCGTTAGCAAAATCATCATAAATCACAAACCAATTATCGAAATGACTTGAAACTTAAAATAGGCTTCGTTTGTATTTCGTACAACTTTCCCAATAATAACGCGGTCTCTCTTTAGAAGATCGCATTAAATGATCAATGCTGGAAATTATAGATTTATGCGTTAAGCTGATTTTGATTTTTATGCCCTACATTACTTGTTGTACAGTGTATATTAAGGTCGTACGGATGTATGTAACACTTAAGAGAGACCCACCGATTGATTTAGAATTATTTTTTCAACAGATCTAAGCATATCTGTCCGTCCGACTGTCTTTCCGGTTAATGTCTGTCTGTCCATGAAATTTATGTTCAAGCGACATGTCGCAATTATTGAGATATTTCGATGAAATTTGGTACACTGGCATGTTTTGATGCAAGGACCAACTCTATCGAAATTGGCTTGGATCAATCCACTGTTTCGACCACTCCCCGCGTAACGGTCTATTTTGAAAGTTGTTATGTGGAAAAAATTGCAAATTTTTTAAAATCTCGACAAAAATTGTCCAAGCAATAGTATTTCCGCAATTTAAATTGGTATGAAAACTTTGGAGCGGCTGGGGCAATTTTTGAACTCCCTCTCACATAATGAGAACTGAAGTTCATATTACAAAATTATTTAATTTTCAATGCTTCACGATGAAAATCGGATCACAATACTAATTTAAAATAAAAAAAAATGGACTTTACAAAATTGGACCACCCACGTCTATATTTCTTTTCATTCTATCCTATATAAGGATTTTTGCGAAAATTTTTGATTTTTAGGACAGAAAAGGTTAAGTCTTGACATGTCATGATAAAAATTGATCCGTAATAGTGGTTTGATACAAAAGTGACCTATGCTTAATTTTAAATACGTACCAAAATTTCTGAATCCCTTACGCACAACCATTCCCACGGAAAGTAAGTCTTCATTTGCAGAGATGTCTAATTTTTAATACCCAGTTCCATAATAGTAAATTCATAAAAAAAAGCGAGTGCAATTTTTGTGTTCTATAGCAAAAACAAGAATTGCGCTCTACCGTTCATGCTCTTTAAAGCAATCAAGTTTCTTTAAAGCATTTTTTTTTGCCCTTTCCTTTTAATGCATTTAAAGTGCTCCTTTTCTTTTCTTTTCTTTTCTTGCTCCAAATAGTTTTTTTTTTTTTGTTTTTGTAGATTACCTTCTTGTTATTTCAGCTGGAAAATCTGCTTCTAAAAAAGCTTAAGATATATTCATATCAATACGTTTGCAAAAAGTTAATTAATTTCTGGTCGTTTAAGCACACATGTTTATAATTAAAACGAAAAATGTTATGTTGTATGCTGTATTTTGATCATGCAGCTTTTAAACAATTGGACCATCTGCACCAAGTCTATGGGCAAGAAAGCGTTGGCTCCTTGAATGCATTCAATGCCCTTTCTAGGAAAAGCTTAATTTTTTATTCCATTCAGCCTAATTTCGTTTGTCGAATTGAAACATGCGTTTGACAAGCCATATTAAGTAAATATTTTGTTAATCAGAAAGGAAGAATGGTAAAAAAAGAAAGAAAAAAAGAAAAGAAAGGAAGAAAGAAAGAAAAAAAAAGAAAGAAAGAAAGAAAGAAAGAGAGAGAGAGAGAGAGAGAGAGAGAGAGAGAGAGAGAGAGAGAGATGCATATGCATCTGTTCAAATTCATTTAAGGACGAATTTTTATGAGATACTTGGAAAACATGCACACAGATATAGCCTTATCCTGAGCACACTCACTGAAACACCACCAATCATATGGTTCTGCCAAAAAACAGTAAAACCGGGTAAAAAAAGTTTTGTTATCTTTTTGGACATTTTGTGTATTCTGATGTTTAAGCATAACTTTGTAGATTAGAAGCAACATAACGGATTTGTAGTCTACGCTTAAGCAGGTCAGTAAACATTCTTACAGTGTTAGGAGAGTACATTGTAGCAGTGTGAAAAGAACATAATTTAGAAATTGAAAGAAAATATAAAAGGGAAGAGAGTATAAAAAATGGAAGAACAAATAATTCCAAAATTTGTTATGCAATTTGTGGAAAACAATCAAAAATAGGCGTTTAAAACGACTTGCTTTAAAGACCCTATAAAATATATATGTCCTTGCATTAAATTTTAAATCGATTAAAGCATGTTCATCAGTCTGTCTGTCTGTCTGATAAACATTCCGCTGTTTATAAAATTGTAAATATCGGCTCGACATTTGGCACGACGATTGGAAGTTCCTGCGCACAGGTTGACGTTCAAATTAAGCCGCATCAGTGAAATGACACGCCCGCAATGCAACATAAATTGACACCAATCAGTGTTCAAAAATACGAAAATTTTGGTTTGTTACTTATAAACGCCAAGAGATACAACGATAAAAATTCGTAATTTTATCCCAAGGATGGTCCTGAAGCAATTGTACAAAAATATGATCAAAATGACGAATGAGCGAAGACGACAATTAATTTTATGAGCGTTGAGAGATGAGAATTCTAGAATTAGGTTGAACTTTTCAAGTGATATGATATGTATTCACAGTTGTTGGTCACAACTCGAGTTTAACAAGTACGAAAAATTATATTCGGCTATGATCGAATCATTTTGTACCCATCACTGTTATCCTAAAAAATGTAAAAGAATTACGCTTTCAAGCTCTATAACATGCAGTAGGCGCGGCTGATTGTTTCTATGTGTAGCAGTGTTGATTTACTCAAATCTGTTTGTTCGCCCAAATAAATCGTAAAGCTCTTGACCTTTTCAAGGCCGTTGTTCGTTATTGTTTAGTACAAAAATGCCTTCAATTATTAGAAAAATTGTATGGTTATTGAAGTTAAAAGTGCCTGAAATTAGTTCCCAGGCACAGGTGTCCTTTTGTTTAATCTTGAAAATAAGTTAAATGACCGAACTTATCGAAGCAGTCGTTTATGTGTGACTGCGCTCTGGCATTTTAATAGCAAGGAAGGACTTTTTACAAATGTATTTTATTTTTATTTAGAGGCGAAATTGTTGTACCCACCGTTGATAAACGGATTTCCCCCATAATGTCTAGAAATGTATAGAAGAGATTGTATAAATAAAATACAATATATTGTTGATTATTATTTCAAATTGGTTAAGAAATATTCGTCTCTCTGTCTGGCCTTCTGTTGAATTCTGTCAGCCTTACAACTGCCAGAAACCGGATGGAAAGTTGAAAATTGATTTATTTTCTCTGAGACGATGGCCACAGATCACATTTATGGATGGATATGTGTGTGTGGGTGCTCGATAAGAGATTATAGCTCTTAGCCTATTACCATTATTAAGACACGAATATCATGTGCGTATAGCAGAAGCGTAAGATAAAACACAACAATACAATGTTCGTTGTTAGCAAATTTTTGCGAATTGTGCTGAGATTGTGCTGGTGCGCTGGATTGCTGCTGAGAATTGCTAAGAATGATTATAAGTGTCTCAATAATCTCATGCCTCCCAAGTGTCCGTGATATAAAAGACAAGGTGGTCAAACATATACATATATACCTTCCGAATATGGTTGGAGCGTAGAACACAAAAGTTTGTGGAAAGATTTACTTTAAAATAATTTAAATTGCTTTTCCATCTTGAGAGCAAAATTCTCATAATATATATGTTATTCGAAGAATTTCTTCTCGAATTGCAATTTAAAATGACTTCCTTATTCATTAAAGACAGAGAGAGAGAGAGAGAGAGAGAGAAAGAAAGAAAGAGAGAGAGAGTAGTACTTTTCTTTACGATAAGTGTAAGTATGTGTGCATTGTTTTTGCATTGTGTAAATGTTAATGCATTTGCATGTAATAAAAGCTGACTTAAGCCACCTTATGTGGCTTTGCGTGCTATGAACTACAGGTCAAATATACGAATTTTAAATTATTCATTTAGTTCAGATTATGATTAAGTTTTAAAGCCGAAAAGCGTTTATCGTAATTGCATTTCTTGTTGAATAAACAACAACTGTACAAACATTGAAAGTGCTTCTTGGAAAGTTTAACTTTATTTACGTTTTGGATTTCCTTAGATCTACTTTAATAACTAACTGCAATAATAGAATTGCTTTTTATCACTTTTTTTTTTTCTTTTTATGTTATTTGTGCTTGTGTCTCTTATTGCTGTTCATTTCGTTTTTCTATTTTTCCAGCTCCGAAGGGACAAATAATACGTTTGGATTTCCGCAATTCATTTCACATAGAATACAAGGAGGAGTGTAAATTTGATTTTTTAGAGGTGTGTATACTGGTAAAGCATAAGTAAGTGACCGTAACAACTAAAATATCAAATGTTTGCTTAGCCGCAATAGCTCTTTATATTAAACCTTTTATTCATGACCACAAATGTTTATATATATATATATATATATATATATATATATGCATGATGATGTGCATGTAAAAGGGAAAGAAAATGACCAAAAAAGAAATTATATTTGATTTGGCTAGAAATCTCTTGATGCTCATTATCCATTTAGTTTATAGACAAGATATGGGAAGAAGATATCGGCCTTGATATATACGTTGAAAGCTTAATTTTTTTGCCTTCTTTCGTTCTATAAAGATGCAAACAATCTCCATTTTTCATTAATTAAGGGCGTGGTAGTAAGCAGACTCGGTGGATTGTGTTCATAAATTTTTAATAAAAACTTGAGAACATATTCATGAAATTCTAAAGCGACTTATCACCTTAAGTATCCTTTAGATTGGCCTTCTATTTCACATCAGTTCATCGCATTGATTCAATCCCTCAAATGGATGCGTCGAACCATCAGTTGAATTTTCCTACTCAGTCTTAGTGCTCTTTACTGCCTTTTCAATTCATTCGGTTTTATTCAACTAATAAATAATGAGCTCTGGACTAAAATCTTTTAAATTCTCTTCACAAACTTGTATTACAAATAATAAGGTTTAGCTGCGCCAAATGAGTTCGAAATCTTGCAGTAAACATATGTTTACTTACATGTATCTAATGCGAGCATGCGAAACAATTGTATAAAATTGTTTTCGAAAACTCTTTACCTATTTGTTAAAGGCTAAGACATCACAAGCTTTAATATATCATTGCAATCGATTATTGCCCAAAAGTTATTTATTATAAAATGTAATCCAAAACTATTAGTGAAAATCTGGCCGCTAGAATGTCATCAATCATAATAATCAAATTTTTCCATAGTGTTAAAAATTATTCCATGAACATATAAAGAAGTATGTATACAGGTACAGTTAACATTTTGACCCCTAAGTATGGGCGAACAAGTAGATCGTCCTGGAGAATCTTAGGGAATCATTGACTGCGGACACCACACCACACGACATAAAAACAAAATATTATCCTTTTTTTCAATGTAACGTTAAGTTGTTTTCTATATGTTTGCGGTCAAATGAAACTCATTCTTATACCCATCTCCGAAATATGAGAGGTAGATACGTTTTATCAAAATCTTTGCAACTCCCAAAAGGAAATTTCACAGACTCCACAAAATATTTGTATTCTTGATTAGCATCAAATTGCGAATCGAGTAAGGTCTAAGGTAAACATTCTCCTGGCGGAAAAGAAGCCACCAACTTCTAATCTGGCATATAGATTGAAAGTTCTTGCGCGCAAGTTGATAATGAAAATGGTCTGAATCGGTCGACGGTCCCGCCTACAGTACCAAGTAAACTGAGAACACCTCTGTTTTTCAATAGGAAGAACAATTTAGCTTTTTGCTCGTTACTCATATATATATATATATATAGTAGATGAATCTATCAAATCAAATTTGATTTCATATGCTATGAGCGATTTTGTGATACGTATGCAAAAATTAAATAATTCGGCCATACCTGGCAGAGCAGCATTCTATCTCGGAAATTTTTATAATGCAATGAAGCAAAGTTCCCAAACCCCATAATGTATATCCCTTTGTTCGCCTGTCCATCTGTCCATCTGTCTCTCGGCCCGATTATGTAGTATTTATGACAAGCATGATATGATGATTTATGATATGATAGAAACCTATCGAACGACATGCCTGTAACGGCCACACTTCAATGCAAGAAAAACTGTGAACACCCTTGCTTTCCATATAAATTTCTACTTTTATTCTGAAAATAGAAAAAAGCAGCCGCGTCCACGCAGTATTATAGAGTATGAAAATCTATTTCTTTTCTGTTTTTTTTTTTTTTTTTTTTTTTGTTTTGTTTGTTGTTTTGGTTTATTTCGTCTTCTTAAACGGTTAAGCAATGTACGTTCTAAATTTTGACTTACTCTGTTTTTCTTTACATAACAAGATGGGTCAAATTGATAGAAGCTTCAGTGTTCAGAAGCGACCTAGGAGCAGTTCATTTCAGTATTATTGTTATTATGAAATAAATTCTTAGACTAAAAAAAAAAGACATTGAGCGATAGCAACAACACAGGCTGTCGGCTCTAATTTATAAAAGTACATTAGGTATTGAGTCTAATAGATTTGATAAAGTAATATGTTGTATAATCGTTAATCGTTCCAAATGTAATACTTCTAGCCAAGGTAAAGTTAAGGCAGTCATAGAGAATGTGATTTATAGTGAGAATTTGTCCACATTTGCAGATTGGCGAGAATGACTTCTTCAAAATCGATTGGTGAGTCGCAATCGTATGACCAAGACGAATTCTCGAAAATATTTGGATCCTGATTTTTTCTCAACATTTGTTGGATGGTTAGTAAAAGAGTAGTATCGATGATGGTATTGGTAGATTTACTTCTGTAATTTTCTCTTTAACTTTTCTTCCAATGTCTCTTTGAAGATCCAACGTTTCGATGACATCATCCATAACTAGAGGTGCCGAAGCAGTATAGTTTATTTGAATGATAACATTGTGTTGTGCGTTAAATATTTCTCTCAACCCTATATAACTAGATAAATGAAACTGAAAGGCAATGAATGAAAAAAAAGCTTAAATACTTCGCAGTAGCTTCAGATGCAATTTTAGAGGAACATACGTTTCAAGATGATTGTGCCTCGCGACACATAATTGCGTTTCTATTTTATATGGTGTGTAATAGATTTGATAAGAACGCATAGAATAGATTAAGATATTAAATCAATTTTAAATATGTCAGCTTCTAATCGTTTATCCGGAATATTTCTTCAACCAAACTGCTTCCCTGTAACTTAACAACTATTTTGTTTTATGCAAATGCGAAGGATTAATTTAATATACTTTTTTCTGCGGTTGTAAATATGAAACAGTATATACTGGCACAACAGTAACAACATTTCATCTGCTTTCTGCTTTAAATAAAAACAAGTAAGAAAATTGTAGTCGGGCGTGACTGAATCTTTTATAACCATCGTCGTTATCCTATAAGAGATTGAAAAAATGGACAAACATAAATTTGCATATTTCATAAAACTTGGTAGGCGCGGCTGATTTTTTTTCTATTTCTGTAGAATAAGTTTGTGGAAATTTTTATCGCGTATCTGTTGTAGTTTATGAGCGACGAGCATAAGACACGGCAAGCAAAGATGCTCTCAATTTTGGTTGTATATACGTGTGGGCGTTGTAGGCATGTTCTTTGATCTAATCGGGCCATTTTCTCCTTGCTTGTGGACGGGATTATTTGTACAACAGACACAATGCTATTGGACAGGCGGATAGACGATAAGACGGACATGCGTAGGTGCATTTAAAATTTGAAACTGGCCAAGAGTTTATATATTTTATAGGGTTATTGAAGCTTGTTTCTACGGATTGTGCAGTTGTTGAAAAAACAAAAAACTTTAATACATTATACAATATTGAATAGGCGCAATCAATCCTTCCTATATTTGTACAGATACTACAGCATCAACCATAGTATGCACATTAAAATTTTTGTAGACTTTGTAGACTGCTGTTGTTTATGAGTACCGAGCAAAAAACTACATTTTTGTTCCTTTTGACGAACAGACAGTTTACGTGATACTGTAGACGTGTCCTTCAATCAATTCAGCCAATTCTCAATGCTGAACGAACTTCGAATATATCTGGAAAATTTGAGCTTCGATAGCTTCATTTTTGCAATCAGAAGAATGTTTGCAGTAGATATTACACGGAGGGACAGATGGACCGACGAACGTGCTTGAATTGATTTAAGATTTGTTGCTGATCAAGAATATATATATACTTTGTGCGTACTCTGATGCTTATTTTTGGGCGTTGGAAACGTTTCGACGAACTGAATATACCCCTCATCCTTCCGTGATGGATATAAATGTTAATTCGAAATAACAAATTTTTGCCACATAATTACTTTCAACCTCTTTGAACAATTTTCTTACGTCAAACCAAGTCAGATCAGATTAAACTTACTGCTACTTTTAGCGGGGCAAAGAAGAATAAAATAAAGGGAAAATATTCAATTACACAGTACTTGTAACTTTCGCACATAATATATATATTCCTTCAGTCGTAAGAAAAAGAAAGAAGAAAAGTGGTGTTGTCACGCATTGAGTTTGTAACGCCGGACATTAAAGTACAATTTCTTTGTATATAAATAGTTTTTATTAGTGAACTGTGTCTATCTCTTTGGAAAATGTGCATTAAAATTGGGGCGCAAAAATTTATTGATGACGAATATACCCGTCATACCCAAAGTGTGTCTAATATGAAGTTAAGTTGTAATGAAGTAACTTAACTTGACTAAATAACATACACACACATTATTATGGCAATGAGAAAATTTTGATGAAGAAATCTGACTGGAAGCGATAAACGTATCATAACGTATATATTCGTAATAAGACAAAATTTTGTATTTTTTTTATGATATATATATATATTCGTCATATACAGTTAAGCGGTAAAAATGTGTTAAAAATTACGGATACACAAGATTGTAGAGATAGGAAATAATTTGGATTCTGACCTTATAAGTTCATGCGCTTACGCGTAACTATGAAAGCGCGCATGTACTTTTCCTACTAATAGGAAATTCATCGTCGTACTCTTTACCATTTACATCACTATACATCATTTATTGTTTTACGTATTACGTATATTTTTTTATTTTATTACAATAATGGCATACCATCTTCTTTAGTTTGATCAATAGGTCATCGCGTAATATAGTATTTTGGAGAATTATTTTCATAATTGAAACAAAGAGTCAAACGGCACTTTATTTTTTAACGATTTGAGCAACGGTTTTTACAAGTTTGCTAATGCCTTCAATAATGCCTTCACGTAGAGGTATATTAGCAATAATTGCTATTATCTTGCGCAACTATGCAACAAATTTTGCACTCGTTCTCTAGATTTCAATAGACGTAGGGACGAAACTGCTGCTTATACACGCCCTTCCTAACTTGACAGCTTTTTGAAAGACTTTTTTTTTTATCATTTTCATATGTTTTCGTATAATACCTTCTTTTAAATTCAATGACTTGATCGTGTGTTGTTTTTTCTTCTTCCGCTAACTCGATCTTATTTCGCTACATTAACTTGTTTAAGTGGGTTCTTCTTAAAACTTAGAATGCAGATAAATTAACTGATAAATGAAATCATGCTTTGTATTTGTATAGTAGCTAAGGAGGTTTTTTTATCAAGTCCTTACCTTGAAATTTAAGCGAATTTAATAGAATATTATCGTCGGTGATCATTTCTCGTTCTCTTTGCGTTTAAGGTGCAATGGGTGTAAGAATGCGAAACATATTATTTTACTATCTTATTATTGAATACATAGCATTATACATAGCATTATAACTTTGCCTATGTGTGTGTGTGTGTGTGTGTGTGTGTGTGTGTGTGTGTGTGTGTGT